CGCACGAAAAAAACACGGTCGAAACGCACGAAAAAAAAAAAACGGTCGAAACGGACGTAAAACGGCCGAAACGGATATAAAACGGTCGAAACACATGTAAAACGGACGAAAGGCACGCCAAAATGGTCGAAACGCACGAAAAAAACACGGTCGAAACGCACGAAAAAAAAACGGTCGAAACGGACGTAAAACGGCCGAAACGGATATAAAACGGTCGAAACGCATGTAAAACAGTCGAGACGCATATAAAACGGTCGAATATTTAGCTTTCCTCATTGTCGAATATCAACTCCACAATACGTACCACTCGACACCTTTGATGTCATCTCATTCTCCTCCTGATGATGCTAACTTGATTAACAAAGATACGATTCAGTGTCCTTCTGGTATGGTGGAATGCTAGACTTACGGAAAACCGACATGTTTTTTTCAAATGATGTATTTTGAAACGCCCTGTATATACGTTAGTACTATGTTTTTTACTGAAATGATGTATTTTGAGACACCCTGTACGTATTGATTGACCGCACGTTGAAGTGTTGAACTGTCGTATTTGTTCATAACCTGATTCATATTTCATCATCATTTCAGTTATTATCAGTTTCGCGCTTCCAATTTTCAACGAGTCGTATTCGTAACACTTCATGCCTAATTTTGAAACCGGCAACGCTACATTGCCCCATAAACAACGATTTATTTCACAACCGGCAACACCGAACCTGCCATGCTATGAACGGGATAGGAATAATTGTAGGGAATGAGAGAAAAAGTATGAGAATCATGAACGTGTATGATGAGCCAGGCGGAAGAAGAAATATCAGAATGGAGGGAATTCGGATGATCTTTGATGAATGGGAAAGACGAAAAATACTGGTTGGGGACGTGAATGCAAAGAATACTGCATGGGGTGGAAACATAACGGACGAGAGAGGAGAGGATCTGTTAGATTGGGTAACCGGAAGGGGTTACACAATCGAGAATGTATGTGGTAGTCCCGCCACTTTCCACAGCAATAGAGGCGAGAGTTGGGTTGACCTGACCGTAAGTGGAAACGCGCAGGTCAACGATTGAAAGGTCAGTATGGATGAGACACTGAGTGATCACAGAATGATAGAGTTCACCGTGATGGGGTTGCCGAAGATGAAAAGGGTGACTGTAACGAACGTAAGAAGGACCCCATGGACCAACTGGGAAGGGCTAGAGCAAATGCTTGCCGATTACTGCCCAGGAAGGTTACATACAAAAGAAGAGATTGATAGGGAAGCGGAAAGGCTTCAAGGGATACTGAAAGAGGCATGTATGAGACATATACCTAGGAATGAAAGGGTGGTGGACACAGAGAAAGAATTGTAGAAAGTGGAGCTAGAAAGCACACGAAGAAATGTAAGGAGAAGAAGGAGAGAAGCACAGAGTACGAGGGAGGAAGGAGAAAGGATGAGACGAATGAACGAGTTCAGGAGAGAGAGGAATAGGTATAAAAGAATGATAGAGAACGCAAGAATCACATGGCTGAGAGAGAGAGAGTGGAGCGGATCCAGGACGAAAATCTCTGGACCGAGCCTATCGATTTCTCAATGATGATAGGGCCAGTGAGATGCCATCGAATGTCGAAAGAGAGGACGGAACCTTCACCGAAGAGAATGAAGAAACCAGCAGGATACTGATAGAGAAGTACTTCCCAAAGGACGATCCAGGAAGCGATAACCCGGACAGGCGGCGAATAAGAGAGAGAGAGAGCAGGATGAATGGGGAGAAGAACAATCGGCCTTCACAATCGGGAAGCATGCGATAGCAGAACAACTACAAGACGGTAAGGCCACTGGAGTGGATGGGGTACCTAATAAGGTACTAAGAAAGGTTACAGAATGGAAGGGAGAATATATGACCCAATCATTCAACGCTGTATGGAGAGAGGGCATTTCCCTGGAGTATGGAAGCAAACGAAGGTTGTGTGGATACCCAAGAAGGACGGAAAGGACGGATGTTGGACAGGTTTCTTAGCGGTAGGATACAAATCTGGTGCGAGAGGGGGTTGAAGTTCTCTCCTGAGCAATATGGCTTCAGAGAGGGAATTGATACAGTCATGGCAGTAGAGAAAATGGTAGAAAGGATAAAAGAGAATGAGAGAGCAAGGAAACACAGTCTGGTCGTGGCGTTAGACCTGTCCAACGCCTTTAACACCGCGTGGGCGACAGCAATTGAAGGGGGAATGAGAAAGATGAGAATGCCAGAGAACGTGGGGAGGGCATGCATTTCATAGGGGAGAGAACAGTCTCCTATGGAAGAGTCACTGAAACGGTGAACAGAGGCTGCCCACAGGGTTCCAGTCTGGGACCGACCCTATGGCTGATTCTGATGGAGGCATGGTTCGAAAGAATGAAGAATATGAAAGATAGAGAAGGCATTGGAGCGTATAGAGTGTATGTGCAAGCCTACGCGGTCATCGTCGAAGGCAACTCCGTCAGAAATATAGAGGAAAGGTGGAAGCTGGTATGGAATGAATGCAAAGCATGGGAGACAGAGATGTGGCTGGGGTACAATGAAAGAGAGACAGAATGCATGTTCATACCAGCGAGAAGGGATGAAAGACTTCCGGTCATAAAGATAAATGAGAGAGAGCTAGAGATAAGAATGAATGTGAGATACCTCGGAGTTGTGGTGGACACTGGATTGTTATTCATCGGCCATCACAAGGAGGTGAGAAAGAAGATGAGTGAATTGGCGGGCAAGTTAAGGAGGTGGACCGGAAAGAATGTCGGACTAAGAATGTCGGACTAAGAATGGGACTACGAAAGGGTAGCAAAACCGGCGATGCTATACGGTGTCCAAGTATGGGGATACAGAGTGCATGACAGCAGAATAAAAAGACAGTTGAGCGCAGCGCAGAGGCCCTTCCTGTTAGCATCAAGCGGTGCTTACAGGACAACGCCCACGGCGGCGCTCTGCGTGATGACAGGGATTGCACCACTACATGTTGAAACAAAGGCAAAATACACGGAATGGAGCTTGAATGGGATAAGAAAGATTGAAGACAGAGTGAAAAGAGGTGATAGGGTATCCCCATGGATGCAAGGGACATTGCTGGGGGAAGCGGGGGAAAGAAGAATGACTGAGGTGCATGTGGATGCCGCGATAAGGTTAGAAGAAGGGAAAGTAGGAATAGGATGGGCATGGGAGAGAGAGGAGGGTGAATGGGTCACAGGGAATGAAAGAGTCAACGAACAGAGCAGTGCGAATGAGGCGGAGATGATTGCGATCGAGAAGGTGATGGAGATGTGGAGTATGGAAGAGAACGTCATGATAGTTAGTGACTCCGCAGTGGCTGTGGAAGGGATTATTGAATTAATAAATAAAGAAAGAAGGGTCTCCTACCCAGCTGGTTCGTCCTACCGCATTGTTGTCGCTCTGTGACGGGGATGCGACAGGGGGGTGAGTCAGGAGAAGTAGGAGTTCCCTTGGTAGTAGTAGCGGTAGATAGAGGGGAGATGCTCAATTGTAAGGCTGTCGGCCGGGATAAGGTGAGCAAAGGCAAATTCATGTACGAGCGGTAGCTTCTGATTGGTCGACTGGGTAATGATGAAAAGAGGTGGAGGTGGTCTGAAGGCTCTGTCCATACATGATGGACGTCTGGCAGAGACGAGGCGCTGACCTCTGTCCCTTTCGTGTGAACTGGGCCTTAGGTCCAAAAAACGCCAGAATGGACGTGTTCTGAATTTGCACGTGTTTCACTACTTCCTGAATCCTGAAGAAATAGAAATCCATTCAATTATTTTCTTTGTGAGAATTACACTGCACGTGAAAAGAGGTTATCAATTTCAATATTGTCAAATATGGAAAATTATCATGAAATAATTCGAATTCATATATTCCAAGTTCATAGACGTCAAAATTGATACGATCACAGAATATAGAAATATAGAACAATCTCCAAATACGCAAACTTTGCACATATTGAATACTGAGCATTTTACTTCAATGACTGAAATCGGAATAACAAGTTGAACTTTCTGTGGTAGCAGGTCATTGACGAAATATGAACCAAAAAATTGATGTTTGACAAAATTCACCTGCTGCTGATTTCATTCAGGATATTCATAACACAACATATTACTCACCGAAATTTCGATCATCTGCAAACAGTATCGTTTTGAAACAATTTCTCAAGTAAGCATTTATTATGTGTCTGATCTATTCATTGTCAAATTAATTTCTCTCTGAGAAATAAATGCGAACTTGAGAGAATTATTCTCTGGCTTGTTTTATTGCACAGTGTTCAACCTCGAAGATTATATTTCTTGGTTAGTTTAGCTGGCTCATCTTATTGAGAATCCTCAATCAATTAATTACCTAAATCAAATAATTCTATAAGGTCTACTAGTTATCATGTTTTTCTGTCGGCACGTTCATTTGTCTCAACTATTTATTTGGTAATTTTTCAGAGAGACTTTTCCCTGTCATTGATTCATTGTGGAGACATGAAAATGAAAAGCATAGATTTTTAGCAAGCATTTTATTCATTTGATAGTACATTATAAAACCATACATATAAAATCGACATTATTGAGACTGCAGTTGAACGGACGTCCTTTGTGGCCCCGTTAACATGAAAAGTAAACGGGACTCCAACGTTTTAACGTGTGATCCCTCCCATAGAAGCAGGTCATTGACCAAATGTGAACCAAAAACTGGATGTTTGAAAAACTTCACCTGGTGCTGATTTCATCCAGGATATGCTCTAATTCTCTGAAATGAAAAACAATTCCATAGAAAACAACATGTACAAGGTGTGGCAAAAATACATTAATTGAGAAAAAACATGACAAGTTAACGAGGNCATGGTAGCAGGTCATTGACCAAATGTGAACCAAAAACTGGATGTTTGAAAAAACTCACATGCTGCTGATTCCATCCAGGATATGCCTTCATTGATGGTTATAGAAAATCCTTCGAACAGTGAATTCATCGAAATGAAAAATATCTGGATATCACAAACTCAGCTTTCATTTGGATTTGATTTTTTCCCGTTGTTTTTTCCTTTTATTTGACTGCTGTGCTATCAAAAAATCTGCCATAGTGAACGATGGACAAATTTGAGATTCCCCAGCAGTGGAATCTCCTTCCAGGACGTCGAAATGACCGCCGTTCAGATTTCCAGTGAATCTCAATCTGACAGAGAATGCTGGCGTCTCACCAAACTCCATTAATTCCATCCCATTTCTATAAACCACGATATGCCAGTGATAGAGGAAGGCAGCTGCTGTTATTTCGCAACTCGTACCGTACGAGTTAGACCGCAACATCTCGGAAGAGTAATCAACTCCATTTCGGAACTCTCTATTCGAATTAGTTGCGAAATACTCATATCGACTCCAGTTATCAACCACGTAATTGACAACTTTTCTTCTCACCACCTGCGCAAACTCTTCATTTTCGAACAAAATGTATGAAAAGGCACGGAATGAACAGTTTCCGTCACCTTTTATTTCAACGATTCTATGAGGAACCTGAATGTTGTCTACGAGAATATTCTCCATCTTCACAAAACGATAATCACAAAATCACTTCAAATAATTCTCACTTAAAAATACAGAGACTACTTACATGCCCTAAATAACATGAAACTATGATCAATCAATGATATGTCCACATATTATATACAAAATTCCATTGGATATATTAATGCAGGTAAAATTTCAATTAGGATCAGGTAAAAGTAAATCTAATCGGACATTTTCGTACCTGTAGAAGAAATTTGCATTTGAAAAATTGACACTACAACTGGTTACAACGAAATTAAATCAGACAGTATATCCAAATCTTTGTAGGAATCAACAACTATAAACCAGAAAGTAGAATATGAAAGGATTGAGACTCTAACGAATATTTCGTTCCATTCATATATTCATAATAAAAACTATATCACCAACAGATTATTCACCAAAATTTCGGTCATCTGGAAACTCCCTTATACGAATTGGTAGCCTATGTCAGCCGGATCTGAAAAAAAAAAACGGAATTGAGTTCGAAGGATTGATAAACTCTCCTGTTTTCCAGCGTTTAGCGAGAACGTTTGATATTTCGTACGTTTTGGCCGTTGTTTTCAATTTTCTTTGTATCATTATATCTGTTCAAGTATATTTTTACTACTTCCTGAATTTTGTTATTCAGATATAGGAATCGATTCAATTATTTTCTTTGTGATGATTACACTGCACGTGATAAGAGGTTATTAATTTCAATTTCTCTTATGCTGGTTTTCATTCAGTCATCGATCAATATTAGAGCTACATAAAGATTAGTAACTCATTGAATTGGATATTCAATAAAGTATTTTCGGCTATAATTACAAATAATTCTCACTTGAAAATACAGAGACTACTTACATGCCCTAAATAACATGAAACTATGATCAATCAATGATATGTCCACATATTATATACAAAATTTCGTTGGGTATAATAATTCAGGTAAAATTTCAATTAGGATCAGGTAAAAGAAAATCGAATCGGACATTTTCGTACCTGTAGAAGAAATTTGCAATTGAAAAATTGACACTACAACTGGTTTAAACAAAATTAAATCAGACACAAGTCAGTATTTTCAAATCTTTGTAGTAATCAACAACTATGAACCAGAAAGTAGAATATGAACGAATATTTCGTTCAATTCATATATTCATAATACAAACTATATTACCAACAGATTATTCACCAAAATTTTGGTCATCTGAAAACTCCCTTATACGAATTAGTAGCCTATGCCAGCTGGATCTGAAAAAAAAAACGGAATCGAGTTCAAAGGTTTGATGAACGTTTGATATTTCGTACGTTTTGACCGTTGTTTTCAATTTTCTTTATTACTTTATATCTATTCAAGTAAATTTTTACTACTTCCTGAATTTTGTTATTCAGATATAGAAATCGATTGAATTATTTTCTTTGTGATAATTACACTGCACATGATAAGAGGTTATTAATTTCAATTTCTCTTATGCTGGTTTTCATTAAGTCATCGATAAATATTATAGCTATATAAAGATTAGTAACTCATTGAATTAAATAATCAATACAGTATTTTTGGCTATGATTGTTCTAGAAGGAAATTCTGTATCCTACCTATTTTTAGGTTGAACAATTAAATTTCTTTTATTATCGCGAGATCAAGTTATTATGGAGATATTTTTGTTGAATTCCATTTTTTTCACAAAGTTAAAAGTAACATCGAAAATAACATAATTATGCTTTGTATTCCTCTTCCAACGATTGAATTGTGATATTATTCTCTCTAGCTTGCCTTATTGCACAGTATTCAAACTCGTAGATTCTATCTATTGGTTAGTTCAGCTGGTTTATCTCACTGAGGATACTCAATCAATCGATTACCTGAATCAATTTTCCCTATGAGGTCTATCAGATTCATTTTTTTCTGTCAAAACGTTCATTTGTATTCGCTATTCATCTTCAAACTTCACTATTTGAGAACTCGTTCATCTGGATTACTGTGTTTAAGTGGAACAGAACTATAACTGTAACACACGGAATGCCAATTAAGGTCGAACAGAATGATTCCGTTGTAAAATCCATANACAGATCTATAACTGTAATACACGGAATGCCAATTGAGGTCGAACAGTATGATTCCGTTGTTTAACAATCGAAATCTTCCCACCATAAGGAATCCAGATATATCAAGATATATCATATGTTTTAGTATACAATGTTTTTTTCATCATCAGATTGAGATTATCAGATCAGATGAATTTTGAAATATGAGCCCAAAACGGTTGCAATGACGATGAATGGATAACGAATAAACTCAAGCAAAACGGTTGAAACGCATCCAAAACAATGTATTTTCAAATGTCATTTTCGGATACTTCGCTCTCCCATTATCCCCACCTCCGAACGTTAACTTCACAGTACGTAACTTCTCGACACTTTTGAATAAATATATACGTTTCTCATTGGGATCGCACGTTGAAACGCTACACTTCCGTTAAACCAACATGTTTTTTTTAAAATGATGTATTCCGAGACACCCTGTACATATTGAGGGATCGCACGTTGAAACGTTACTGCCTCGTTGAACTGTTATGTTTTTTCTTAAATGATGTATTTTGGGACACCTCGTACAGATTGAGGGATCGCACGTTGAAACGTTACTGCCTCGTTGAACTGTCATGTCCTTTCCTAAATGATGTATTTTGACGCACCCTGTACACTTCAACGTCATGTTTTTTTTTCATTAGTGGTGTATTTTGAGATACCTCGTACACATTGAGGGATCGCACGTAAAAAGTTGAACTGTCATGTTTTCTTTTACGCTGTATTTTTCCCACACACGTTGTTACGGTATCATTTTGTCATTTTTTTTGTTTTGAGGTCGACGACTATTTAAGCCTGAAATGAATACTTCCATGAAGGTTTTGGGATATTTTAATATCTCGTCATTCGTCCACACTTCATTCACTGATAAACAACTATACAAGGATATATTCGAACGCGTTAGTTATATTCGAACCTATATTCGAATCCCCTAAGGATTCTGTTCTCTGTACGGTGAATGGTGTAGTTAGGGTGTTCTGTGACTATGATTCCATGAATGTCTTGCCGCCGGGATTCAAAATTTTTTGTGGTACTTTTGGTAGCCATTTGCTAATTTTGGAATTTATGTCTCGATTTTTCGGAGTAAGATCATCTTTTATGAGAATAGGGAATTCTTTTATTCTTGGCATTTGGATGCTGGTAAAACATTCAACTCACTTGTTGGATTCAATTTCTTATGGAGAACGGAATCTTACTGATTTGAATCTTGTGCATGTGTAGAATCGTGGAAGTCATTTCATCAGCGCGAAATATTTGAATACAAGAACAATTGAAAAATAAAAAAAAAACAAAAGAAATTTGCTTCGACCATAATATTATCAAGGTTTTAACATTTAAGGACATACACAATAAAGAGAACTGTAACATTGAATTTGACTAGAGATCGCGTTTTCATACCTGCGAAACTTTGCGGGCTCTGACCTAAATACACCATAGTATATTCACCACCCGATGAGTTGATACAAGTTATATCATCATCACTGAATTGCAACGAAATACATTTTGGTAGCCATGTTTTAAATAATTTATTATTGCTCACATCTTCCAAAGGTAATAAAATTTATTTACCAAACCTTGAAGAATAAGTTGACATATTCTTAATTATATATATTTCATCAATTGGTAATGATGATAAAGCCTTTTGCTCTAGTATTTCAACCTCCTGTACAATCAGATTATTGATTTTATTTAAGTCTATTTTTGAAACGGACATGATGAAAATATGTATGAAAATATAAACAGTTTCCAACAGAGAAATACACTCACCGTCTTCCTTCTATTACGAACTGAATAACACTCTACCAATTGCTAACTGCTGCAGATATATTCGTCTACTGATTTCATAGTGTGCCAGGCATTTCCTTTATATTAAACAGCGCGAGTCACCCCCACCATGAAACCGTGAAAGGTGCACATTGCTAATTGCTACCAACTAGAGATGCCTGACATCACTGCCAAGCCCACCTCCCAGCTGAATGCGATAACAGATGTCGATACGAACAGGCAGTGGTCGTTGTGCTCTCGTAGAGGGCAGACGTTAACAGTCCTCTTCCGCCTGCGTGTCACCATCGATAGCGAGGCTAGAGCGATGCGTTACGTCACAACCTTCACCGCACCGAGAGAGGGGAGGGCACACCGATGAATACGCATTACTCAGCCACACGTCGTGGAGTGAACATCTCGTTCTCTTACCGTTGAACGTTACTGCTGCTGTGAGGTCACACCACTACTAACTTGGTGGGCTCACACCGATGGAACATTCATTACTTGAAGGATCTTCGAAGTATGCAGACGTAAGTTTGTACATAGACAAACACATGATGAAACCTTGTATCATGCATTCTCTCACACACACACACACACACACACAAAATCTCATATGAAAAAAAAAATCTGAACGATCCATGCACCAGACACTTCAAGTTCACATCGCCTTGACTTCACTACACAACAAAAAAAAGCAATTAATACGTCATAGTGGTGAGGGGAGACTTAGAACCGGAAAAAAATTCTGAACGATCCATGCACCAGCCACTTCAAGGTCACATCGCCTTGACTTCACTAAACAAAAAAAAGCATTTAATACATCATAGTGGTGGGGGAGGCTTAGAACCGGCTCAAATCTCCTACTAAATTTGATCCTCAATATAAACATACACCAAAGAAGAATAATATTCAAGAGTGGAAGTAATGTTTTCATGAAGTAATTGCTACACGTATAATTAAAATAAAAATTAACTGTCATTCAAAACAAGGAATTTAAAACACATTCTGCACGTACTAAACGAAGGAATAATAATATAATTGAGAATTTTTGAGTCGAACAAAAAATATTGTATATAACCACAAACTCTTTGCATATTAAACGGAGAAGAAATGGTAAACAATACTAACTTTAATTTCGTACAAATTCAAATGAAACAACACAA